TGGATGATGGATGGATGATGGATGGATGGATGGCTGGATGGATGGATGGATGATGGATGGAGTATGGATGGATGGATGAATGGATGGATGATGGCTGGATGGATGGGTAGTGTTTTGTTCAGTCATGAGCATTAGCTTTAGCTCAATCATATAAATGCCCTTGTGAAGCAGAGCCAGGTCATGTGACCACAGTCCAGTAATACAGATCAGTGATGCAGGCTTAGATTAGGGACAGTTAATCTGATCAGTCTCTTTCTGTTTCTTCTTCTTGTGCACAGGTACAAGACAGGAAAGAGGTCTGGTCCAGTGGCTCTCTTCATCTGGTTCCTCTTCCTCCTCTGGCTCATCCTCCTATGACTTTCCCCTGGGGATGGGCGTGGTCAGAAAGACCCGCCTACTTAGGTGGTTTCCCATTTGCCCAACCTTCACAGGTTTCAGGGTGTCTGATGAAGCTCCACCCCCTGACAGACTGGAGGAGAGAGGAGATGAAGAAGAAGAGGCAGGGGACCTCCACCTGTCCAGTACCAAAGTGTGACAGTCCTGGATGGTCCAGACTGATGATGACATTACCAGTCTGGACCAATGAGAGAAGCAGGAAGCTGCTGGATCTGTTTCCATACGATGTCAATTTTATTGATCTTTACAGTGATTGATCCTAGATCAACTGAATTAATAATATAAGTTTATTAATTAGGACAGATATTAATCAGACTGTGAAACAAACCCAAACCAAGCAGCTCTGCAACTGGACCCCACCCTCACAGACCCCACCCTCACAGACCCCGCCCTCACAGGCCCCTGGAGTAGTATTTGGGTGTATTTACGACAGGTCCCGCCCTCACAGGCCATCCCCTCACAGACCCCGCCCTCACAGACCCCGCCCTCACAGGCCCCACCCTCTGGAGTAGTATTTGGGTGTATTTACGACAGGCCCCGCCCTCACAGGCCCCGCCCTCTGGAGTAGTATTTGGGTGTATTTACGACAGGCCCCGCCCTCACAGGCCCCGCCCTCTGCAGTAGTATTTGGTGTACTGAGGAGAGCTTCAGTGTTTTGTAGTTTGATTCTTTTGACTGAAAAAGTCGACAGAATCAAAGATTTTCAGACCAGATGAAAGATTTGAGTTTTTCTTCACATTTAGTTTAGATCCATCCTGACATGTGCAA